AGGACCTGCTGCCTGGGGAGGGGAGGGAAGGACGGAGAGGGGGAGGGGGGCTCTGGCCAGGATGCCTGCAGGGCACTGCAGCCTTATCCCAGGGCAAGAGAGCCACAAACCTTCCTTCCTCTTCCCTCCAGACCACACTGGGACAGGACATGATCTGACCCCACCTGCATGAATCAGGGCCACCATGCTCCGGCCCAGGCAGGATGGGCACAGCTGAGGCCCTCTGATAGGGCTTGCAGGGGTGGGGAAGGGAGGCAAGGGGCTGTGGTTTGGCAGTGTGGAGCACTGGAGTTGGGGGCGGGGAACCGTGCGGTAGGAGTGCAGGGCACTATCAGGGCCCAGGGGGCAGGGTACTGCAGTTAGGTGACTGAGGGGCACTGGCAAGACTAGGGCAATTGGTTGGGAGTAAGGGGCAGCAGCAGGGCTGGGGGGGCTGTGGCTTAGGAGTGTGGGGGCAACAGAATGGGCAGGGGAAGGGTCACCCTTCAGGGCTCATGATGTAAACACTCCTTTGAAATCCATCATTCATGACGGGCAATTGGCTAGTATATATATAAAAGAAAGAGCTACGTTTTTCACATTCCTGAAGCGTAGACTTTAATAAAAATTGCAAAAATCATGAGAATTGGCACTCAGCATGAGAATACTGGGCACTCAGCAACTTCCTTTCCAGGACAGGGTCCAGTTCACTGGGCCACAGAGAAAGCCTCTCTCTAGCTTGCTCTTCTGACCCTTCCCCTATCTTCCCTTCTTGGCTGCCCAGGGGGCTAGCTTCAACAGGGGGCATGAAAAGTGTTTTTTTCATCCTATATAGCCAATAGCCTGGTGGTCAGAGCATTTGATGAAAGCTTGAAGATATACAGGTTCAAAGTCCTTCCATCTAAAAGAGGCCTAGAACACAGGTTCTGTTCTCCAGGCAGATGGGAGAATCATTAGACCATTAGCCTAAAAGATAATAGAACCCTCCTCCCTTCACTAGTCATGGTTTTTCTCCAGCTGATGCCTTGAGGATCTACACAGAGTAGACGGAACAGGATTGAAGCAGAGAATAAGTAGGTGGAGCAGATTCCTTCTAAGTAGGTTGACAATATGTCCTGGTTTGCCCGCAACAGTCCTGGATTTCAAAGGCCAGTCCCAGCTGGTTGGTAAAAATTAAAACAGGAGTCCTGGACTCGCAGAGGACGGGGTGCAGTCCAGCATGGTGTGCCAGACTGTGCCTACACCCCTGCCCACCAGCCTGTGCCACTGCCCACAGCAGTGCCACTGACCTGTGGGGGGAGGTGGAAGTGTCCCAGATGTCCCAAATTTTCTTATGTTCACCCTAGTTCTAAGTGTGCTCAGAAAGGCAAGTTGAGCTGAGTTGGAGAGGGTTGAGGTCTGAAACCTGCTTAAGTAGCCCAAAACACCATTCATGTATGAGTGCTATAGATGTATGAGTGCTATTTACCTGCCTAAAAGTGAGTTGGTTTGGGGCCCTCAAGTTTAGCTAAGTCACTAATTGAGTAGACAGCTGCAGAGCATACCTAAAGCCTGATTGATACTGATAACATTGAGTCTAGTAACAAGCACAAACTCCAGTTACAGTCACTTGGAAGCACCAGTGGTGTTGATGAACTGACTACGTCTTGTTTGGAAGCTACTGGTTTCAGCACTTGCCCAAGACATAGGAGATTAGGGTTCCAGGCCCTCTTCCCCCTGAGAGTACTCATAACCACACTGCCCACTTCCCATTAAGCAGTCAGAATGACCACCCTATTAAATGTTGGGTTCTGGTTCCTGCCCTCTACCACCTCTAAGGAAGAAATAAGAATGGGGGTGCCAAGATGAGCTGTTCTGATACTCAATGTTTGTCTGCCATCACTGTGGCATTCTGCCAATTAACATTTTTCATCATTTTTAACTCTTTTTCCTGTCTTCAGTAAAAAGGAGTTTGGATGAACAATAAAGTGTATTCAAATAAGGCCCATGGACCGACTTCAACAAACAAGGACATTTCAAATTAGAGAGACCACTGAGTTCTGGAAAACTTGCAATTCTAAAACACAGTAGGGGTGAGTTAATGGCAGAGTGGGAAACTTAACTCTGAATTTCTTTTGCTTCTGTCAGTTTTACTCTTTCACTCCTTCTGTTTACTAAAATATCCTAACTAGGACTTTAGTATATTTCCCATATGTTCAGTTGCAGTGCAGAATGATGTTTCACACACATACCCTAGTGAACTACTACAGCAATGGTTAGATTTTAAAGGTCTTCTTGTTACTAACTAGGTATGAACACATGTTAATATTCTATTAAGTAAACTTCTCAAAATGTTTCACTTGATCAAGCAAAACGCTAATCAAAACAATTAAACATGCTTTAACTTTATGAGTAGCCCCATACCTGCTTGTAACATACATGTGAGAAGCAGCAGGCAGAAGATTTGAATTTGTTGGAATTTATTTAACACCTAAGTTCAGGGTTTGGAATGCAATGCCTTGAGGACCCGACTATGTACAATGCTTTCTGAAGAGATCTGAAAGAACAGGAGGTTGGTTTACTAGATAAACCCCTAAGTTTTATATCATTGTTTTCAGATAGCGAAGGGACATGGGGAACCCAAGACAGAAATGTAAAATGATTTTACCCAAGTCCCACAACAAACTAATAACAGAACTGGAAACAGAAACCAATAGATCCATGGCTTGTATTCTAATAACTCATTACCATTATGAGATCTAACAGCCTGAAGGGACCACTAAGCTCAGCACTAAGGGTTTCAAAGACATTGTTTTGGCCTGTATAAGAACACATGGCATTTTGAATGACCTCCGCATACTCGGTTGCCGCACATCAGTGACTTGCCCTGGCTGATATTTGCCACCCAGTCAATCCTTCGGGCAGATCCAGGGGAGTGCACTGGTACACTTGCATCCAGCTTTGATTCCTGCTCTAACCAAAGTTTAAAACCAACTGCCTGGCAGCGGCAGCAACATTTCTAGTCAGGCAGTGCTGAGGGAGTCAGTGGCCTTTATGGCTCATTATAATCTACCTGATCCCTTCCAAACTCGTCTCACAGGTGTTCATGACCCTCTCTCCATTTTAATGGTCTTGATGTTCCTCTAACTCTGCAGCTCTGCTGTCCCATTAGCTGCTCCTGGTAATGAAGCTCTGACCTCACAGCCCTGCAGATTGTTTTCAACTCATTCCAATGAAGTTATATTTCCTTTTCATTCAATCTTAAACCGAATAACCCCGCCCTAGGCCCCTGCCATATTAGTAAACCCTTCTAGTTTCTTTTTAAAATGTGTGTTGTTGTAAGTGATGACGCACTTCACCACCCTCACCCCTCTTTTCAAAATCCTTCATCCCCCCCGTGTCTGCAACGATACATAACCTGGTGTCTCAACAGGGTAATGCTGTGCCTGACAATGAAACAGGTCCCTGGCCAGTGCTGGTGACAACAGACAGATGGCTCTTGGCATGCCCTGCTTCTCGACATCTTCCAGTCAAGTTTTCTCCACTTGCAACTGGACGGGGCTGCTCTGACCCCAGGCAGGGCGAGGTGCAGGCCTGGTGCTGGGTGCGTGTGACCGGCTTGGGGCTGGGCCAGGCCGGCCCTCACACGGCCACAAGCTCGGCCAG